TATGTATCTGGCAACCGTGTGGCAGATTGCAAATCGATCTACCACATCCAGCGCCATCAGATCTGGCAACCACTCGATCTGCATCTCCTCCGTTCGCGACTCCTATGCCCGAGCGCCCAGGCATGGCGCCGCGAGCACGCATTGACCAGCCATCAACAGCTTCGATCGAACCACCTGTTCCCTTGCACCCCTCGAGCACCAGCGCCTCCTCAAGTCGCCGCCATAGCCTGCTGCTCCGACGAGCAGCTCCTTCCACGGCCAACACTCGCCGGTGCAGGAGCTTCATCACCATCTCCATGGAATTCCTGCCTCCCCTGCAGCCCATCGACGACTAGGTCCTCCACACGTCTCGGCCTTAGTAGCCTCTGCTGCCTGCTGTTCTGCTGGCCGAGCTTCTAGCCACGACCATAGGCTCCGGCGAGCGCCGACTTCAAGATAGGACACTTCCATCGATCTTCTTCATCTTTGAACAATATGTTGCGTGCTCAACTAAAATGGATTCCCAATGAAGAGATCTACGAATTTCATGTTGAAGTCCACGCGATTCTTAGACTAAATCAACAAGTATGATGGTGTTGGGGAACGTAGTAATTTCAAAATTTTCCTACGCACACACAGGATCATGGTGATGCATAGCAACAAGAGGGGAGAGTGTCGTCCACGTACCCTCGTAGACCGTTAAGCGGAGGCGTTATGACAATGCGGTTGATGTAGTCGTACGTCTTCATGATCGACCGATCCTTAGTACCGAACGTACGACACCTCCGCGTTCAGCACATGTTCAACTGGGTGACGTCCCGCGAACTCACGATCCAGTAGAGCTCGGGGAAGAGTTTCGTCAGCACGACGGCGTGGTGACGATGTTGATGAAGCTACCGCAGTAGGGCTTTGCCTAAACACTGCTATAGTATGACCGAGGTGGATTATGGTGGAGGGGGCACCGCATATGGCTGGGAGAGATCATTACGATCAACTTGTGTGTCTAGAGGTTCCCCTGCCCCCGTATATAAAGGAGCAAGGGGTGAGAGGCGGCCGGCCAGGAGGAGGCGCACAGGGAGGAGTCCTATTCCCACCTTTCCTAGTTGGAGTAGGAGAAGGGGGAAGGAGGAGGGAGAGAGGAAGGAAAGGGGGGCGCCGCCCCCCTCCTTATCCAATTCGTACTAGAGGGCGAAGGGGCGCGCGGCCTTCCCTGGCCGCCCACTCCTCTTCTCCACTAAGGCCCATCTTGGTCCATTAAACCCTCGGGAGAGGGGTCCGGTAACCCCCGCTACTCCGGTAAAATCCCGATTTCACCTGAAACACTCCCGATATCCAAATATAGGCTTCCAATATATCAATCTTTATGTCTTGACCATTTCAAGACTCCTCGTCATGTCCATGATCACATCCGGGACTCTGAACTTCCTTCGGTTCATCAAAACACATAAACTCATAATATAACCATCATCGAACTTTAAGCGTGCGGACCCTATGGGTTTGAGAACTATGTAGACATGACCAAGACATGTCTCCGGTCAATAACCAATAGCGGAACCTGGATGCTCATATTGGTTCCTATATATTCTACGAAGATCTTTATCGATCAAACCGCACAACACTATACATTGTTCTCTTTGTCATCGGTATGTTACTTGCCCGAGATTCGATCGTCGATATCCAGTACCTAGTTCAATCTCATTACCAGCAAGTCTCTTTACTCATTCCGTAATACATCACCCTGTAACTAACTCATTAGTTATCATGCTTGCAAGGCTTATAGTGATGTGTATTACCGAGAGGGCCCAGAGATACCTCTCCGACAACCGGAGTGACAAATCCTAATCTTGATCTATGCCAACTCAACAAGTACCATCGGAGACACCTGTAGAGCATCTTTATAATCACCCAGTTACATTGTGACGTTTGATAGCACACAAAGTGTTCCTCCGGTATTCGGGAGTTGTATAATCTCATAGTCATAAGAACATGTATAAGTCATGAAGAAAGCAATAGCAGTAAACAAACGATCAAGTGCTAAGCCAACGCAATGCTAGGAAACAAGGCCTAGGGTTCATACTTTCACTAGTGCAAGTTCTCTCAACAATAATAACATAATTGGATCACATAACTATCCCTCAAAATGCAACAAAGAGTCACTCCAAAGTCACTAATAGCGGAGAACAAACGAAGATATTATGGTAGGGTATGAAACCACCTCAAAGTTATTCTTTCCAATCAATCCATTGGGCTATTCCTATAAGTGTCACAAACAACCCTAGAGTTCGTACTAGAATAAC